CCAAACTGTGCCCGTGGAGGTGGGGTAATAGCCGTGTTTCGTGTCCCGTCATCGCTAGCATCGCTAGTACTCTGCTGATAGCAAGCATGGCGGACAGTGGCGTTCCCCAGGGTTTAGGGTTGGGGAATTGTGGGGGTTTGTTTTGGGTGGGGATTTGCCTATCCATCTTGCCCCAGGTGAGGCATTTCGCAAATTTTACAACAATAATTTCCAAATCCCCCACTAAACCCCGAGGTGGGGAGGGTGGGGGTTGACATTGACTGGAGCATAAACATGTCTATAATACTACAATAAAGCCATGCTCAAACATACTGCCTGCTTAGATTTACACATTTGAGATGTTTCTGACATTCCTCGCTGTTTCTGTGAAAATTTATAACAAAAGAAACAGTTTTTTATTCACCCAACTTTCGTAAGTAAAAGGAAACCCCTGAACGGCCACGAGCGTAAGCGCTGCCGTCAGGTAACCAAGAGAAATAGAACAAGCAACGAGAAAGTGACGGACCAATCAGAATGCCGGATTCATTACTAGTTACCGGCCATTGACGCTGCAGGTCGGCGTCTTCTACACCGATCTGACGCATATCGCGCAAGGTGTACCAGGAGTTTGTTCGAAATTTCGAACGTTTCGAGGTCAGTCGTCGATTGCCACGTATTTTACGGATATATTAAATCGTTTGAGGGGCCTGTTTACTACATAATGATAAATGAAACTTAGAAAACTTGTAAGAACAAACTGGGCCCAAATTGCACAAATTGCAATAAGTTTACGCTACTAGAGTCTGGTTCGGATGGAGTTCAACGTGTGATTTTATTGCGCTCAAGGACGTTCTATTTTCGAACTAGTTGAAACCGGAAATAACGCAACTACTTTCGAACTTTAAACACAAATTTGATTATTGTTATTATGTGTTAGTTTCTGTTGTTTCAAAGATTGAATTATGTATGACAATAATATTTCACTCTATAAACAATATTTCACTAAAATATGTGATTCAAAGGCAACCCAAATTGTAAAAAGCAATATCAAGTTCCGCGTATAAACACTGTTGTAAAGAGGCGGCGGAGCGGAATTTTAGCCAAAATCGGCTAGTAAGGCGTCATATGACACAGGTATGTGCTGGGACAGCGCTTCCGGTGACGACATAACGGTAAGGCGTCATATGACACAGGTTTGTGCTGGGACAGCGCTTCCGGTGACGACACAACGGTTACCGGCCTCTTGTGGCTTGGTACGCCATGACACTTGAGGCGAGAACCAGCCAACCTCAAAACCAAACTCCGCACAGTTGGATGCGCGTTACGTAAAGCGCAAAGACCTATGGGAAAGAGATTGCCTCAAAACATGCAAATTTTGCCATAAATGATCCAACATGGCGACCAAACCACCAAAATACGTGAGCATAAAAGTTCAGAGGTGAAACGGACGGATAATATTGTTGTGGACTGGTACGCAATTGACATTGGCCAAGGAGACGTTTTTACAGCTATACGAGAGGTCGGTAGCGGCAAGCGAGTTTCGCCCAGACAACTTTGAGAACATATTGT